TTCACCAAGCAGATCCATCCCAGCTGCTGCCCTCGGGCCTCTGAGCCTCTCTGTGCCCCTTGGTGTAGGCTCTGGTGCTTGCGCTCCCGGCTCCCCAAGCTCTGGGCTCCCACGAGACAAGCAGGGAGGCTGCTGGGGGACATCTCTGTCCTGTGCAGTCTGGCACAGGTGTTCAGCAGCAGGGTCCTGGCAGCCCCGTGGATGTAGTATAGACAGTTCCTCCACCACATCTCCAGTCCCCCATCCTCAAGGGGGATCCGGGCAGGGGAAGATGCCCTGATGCATCACAGTGGGATGGTGTTGCTGAGGTCACGTCACTGGTGGGCTCCCACGTGCCGTTTGCTGTTCACATGCTGTGGGGGGCATCTTGGTGCGAGGCGCCTCTGTGAAATTGGAAGTGGCAGAGAGGGCTGAAATAAGGACAGGAACAGAGAGGTCAGTCACTTGAGGGTTAAAGAAAAAGCCAGGTGGGTTCAAATGCAAAATGAGGTGCCAGTTTTAGTGATAAGCTACAGGGGGAAACAGTGCCGATGGTTGATTTTCTAACTCCAGCAGGTTGGGAAATCTGACCTGATACATCTCTGGCAGGCGTGCGTTAGGTGTGCACGTGCTAGGACTCAATACAGGACAGGGACTGAGGATGGGTAGGTGGAAACTGTGTAACTCCCTACTGAGATGACAGTGTTGCACCATACGAGTGCCTTTTCCTCATGGAGCCCAAATTGCTTGGAAAGCAGTGTAAGCAAGACTGAAAAGAGGAGTGCATGTGAGTGCAGGAGCGTATCAGTGCCGCGGGGCACTGCTCCTGCTCACATTGTGCTGGGAAATGTCTCCGTGCTGCAATCAGGTCCAGAGAAGTTGTGCATGATGAGCACGAGGGAGCGGGTGCAATCACAGTACGTTCGAGGGGCTCGACACCCGCACGGTCCTGTGCTCACATGTCAGACGCTGCCTTTCTCTTTGGTGGCTCTGTTGCAGCTGGTCGTGCCTCCCGGAAAGACTCTCTCCACAATTGTAACTGTGTCACTTCTAATTCTGGACAGTCATGCTAATATTGCTTAACTGTAGTGCAAACAATGACCAGTTTTAGCCTGTTGCTCTTCAGAAGAGTTCGGTGCCCAACCTCCAGGCCCAGGTCTGGACTCTCTCTCCAGGCAGCCCCACCAGTGCTGTGACTCCCGTGTGACACAAACCTCTGCTGAGGAGCACACACCTCCGGGACACCGGACAAGAGTGTTTCTTCCTGAGCAACACAGCTTCATGACTCAAACGTTCCCCCACGGCTTCTTCCCCCGAAGTATGAGAGTGACCAGGAGCTCCTTTGCAAATGCCCCTGGATCAGAGCAGACCCCTGAATACTCCGATCCCTGCTACCACAGGCACAGATGTCATTTCCTTTGGTGGACATCGACGTGATGTGGGAAAGGGTCCGCAGCGAGGACAGGACAGCACCTGGGAGCGCTGGGGGCCAAGAGAGCTCCAAGCACCAGCCGCTGTTACCCGCCCTCCCCCAGCGCTGGAGACAGACGCAGAAGAGATCCAGGTGTGGGAGATGGGGCTGGTGTTGGCATCGCGGGTGTCCACAGCTCCAGCTGGCCGCCCAGGTCTTCCAGGTCCCCGAGGTGACAGCTACAGCCATGAGGAGCTGAGGATAGCCAGAGTCTGTGTGCCAGGACTGCGACCCAGGCACGGGAGCAGAGGGGACCCCACACGCCGTGCAGAGCTCAGGGCTGACCCACCCCTGCTCTCCCCAGGCCATGGGCAGGGCTGGCCCCGGCTCCGCAGCCCTGTGGGGTGGGGCAGGAGCAGCTCCGGCTTCGGGCTTCACGCTGCACCTTGGCCCCTGCTCCCAGCCCCTCCCTGCCACACCAGGAAGGGGAAAGCACAAAGCCACGGCCCACGGATCCACGCTGCCTCGCAGGAGAGGAGATGGCGACTGTGGCGGGACAGACGGATGCCTGGGCCCTGCGCCTCGGGGGCCTGCTCCTGCCTCTGCTCTTCCTGGGGACAGCAGGTAAGTGCCGACCCCTGCTCTGCTGGGGCGAGGGATGGCAGGGCCGGGCTGTGGTGGCCGTGTTCAGCCCTGGTGCAGGGGCAGCCGGGTGCTGTCTCTTGAACATGCCTGGAACAGAAGTCCCAGTGGCCCCGTGTTTGCGTCTGGGTCTGCCCAGGGCGGCCGGGTCAGACGTGGGCTGTACAAGAGCATGGAGGGGTGTGGAGATCAGCTGGTGCAGGAGACACCCCCTCCGTGGTGCCCAGTGGTCCCAGGACACTGAGACCTGGAGGAGCTGATGGACCGGACCTCAAAGCACACACTGCCCCTCCTGCTGTGCACCTTTCCCTGCCCGGGGCTGCGGCTCTGGGCAGTCGGGAGCACTGGGGCCCTGGGAGCAGACCCCGGGCAGGGAGCAGGAGGGGCCGGGATCCCCAGAGCCCCCCAGCCCTAAGCCTGCCCTGGGGTCCTGCTCCCAGGACAGGGGAGGCCCCGGGATGACTCTCCCATCCGCTCCTCAGAGCCACGGGGCTGTCGAGAAGGGCAAGAGCTGGGCCTGGCCCCGGTCCCAGACCCATTTCAGCTCCTGGCACAGGATGGAGCCCCTTCGGGTTGATCCCAGCTGGGGCCTGGCTCCTTCCCAAGGGAAACCGAAAGCCAGAGAGCAGCTGCTGGGAATCCATTTCAGCCCCAGGGACAAGGACTCTGGCAGGATGAAGGGAAAGATGCAGCCCTGGGGCAGCGCCTGGGCAGTCTGCTCCTTTACATGGCCCTGCTCCTTTCTCCCCTTTTCCCTGCCCCACAGGATAATCCCAGTCCCGCTGCTCCCCTGGTGTTGGTGTGGGGGCAGCCGGGGGCTGGGGCGGGTGTGCAGCCCTGGGGCAGCCTGGCCAAACCCCGTGGGAGGAAGGTGCGGGTGACGGAGAGGGGGCAGTTCAGCGTGTGGGGGTGAAGTCCCGTTGCCCCGAGCGCAGCAGGCCCCTGCCCCCCCAGCCCCCATCTCCCTGCACCAGGTCCCCGCGGCGGGGTGTGCCATCCTGGGCAGCCTCTCCCCTGCGCCGGCCCCGCCCCGCGGGGGCTCCCGGCTGGCTCCCGGGCAGGTTCCCAGCGGCAGGTGACCACGGCACCCTCCTCCACGGCCCGCGTGGGCTCGGGGGCCCTGCTGCAGTGCCGGTTCGATGTCGGGGGGCCGGTGGCCCTGGACTCCCTGCGGGTGATGTGGTATTTCTTGGATCAGGAGGTGGCTTCCTTTAAGCACAGCAGGAGCCAGGCCTGGCCCAGAGCCAGCCTGCCATCCCACAAGGAACTGAAGAGCGGAGACGCCTCCTTGTCGCTGGTCGCGGTGACCGTGCCCGACGGGGGCTTGTACCGGTGTGTTGTGGGGTACGGGACACAGCAGCACCACGGGGAGACCATCCTGCGCCTGCTCGGTGAGGACCAGAGAGGGGCCCACGGGCAGTCTGGCCGTGCTCAGGCTGGACACGGGTGGGTTCATGGGGACACAAACACACAGCCCCGCGCCATGTGCAGTGAGGTGTTGAACAAGCAATGCTCGCCAGAGACCGAGGGACTCTTTGCTCTTGTCATGTCAGACCCTGGGTTCAGCGCCAGCTCGGGCACCCATTGTGTCCTGCTGCGCAGGGCTGTCCCAGCCCTTCAGACCCACACCGCCGTGGTGACGCCTGCTGGGGGCCCAGGTCCCACGTGGCCTCAGTGGTCATGTGGGTGCCCAACCCGTCAAGGGGACTGGCACATGTCCCAAGTCTCAAGACCTGAGTCCCAAGGCGCACAGTGACTCTGTTTTCCAGCTGCCCCGACACTCTCCGTCCCAAGAAAACCAGTTGTGGCCGATGCCGAGACCTCCCTCCTGTGCCACGTGGGGCGGTTCTACCCCGAGGACGTGGACGTGGCGTGGCTGAGAGACGGGGAGGTCCTGCAGGGCTTCACCCGCTCCAGCCCCCAGAGGAACGCAGACGGGACCTTCAACCTCACCCTCACCTACACCTTCACCCCCGCCCGCAGCAATGCCGATAGCATCTTGTCCTGCTACGTCCGCCACGAGGCTCTGGAGCAGCCACTGCAGGAGGACGTCTCCCTGGACATCCGAGGTGAGAGCCCGCACTGGGACCTGCCTGCTGCCCTGACTCTGGACACGGGGGAACTGGGAATGTAAACCCCAAATCGGGGCTTGCACTAAGGGACTGTGATCAGGCTGGGAAGGGCAGTGGGTGGAGGTGCCGGGGAGCAGCTGCATTTATTGTCATGGTTGTGCAGGTTCTTAATGTGGTTTCAGGTGTGCAGTGACAGGTTTATGCAAGATGATTTATATGTATAGATAACTATATATATATATGCTTTAAAAAAAAACAAACAAGGGCGCTTCACCTGCCCCCTCCCCAAGGGAGCACAGAGCTGTACCAGGCCAGCGTGCAGGCGGCGCTGAGCTGCAGACCAGCATGGTCGGGGGCTGCATTAGCAAGCAGGAACGCTCCTTCCCTCCCAGGGGAGCTGGAGCACCAAGGAGCAGAGGGACGCAGGCCTGGAGGGGTCTCGTGGGCTGCTGCGTCCAGGCCCCTCAATTCCCAGTGCCTGGGCAAGCGCAGGGTCCCCAGCATCCCAGAGCTCACTGTTAAACCTCGACTCCACGTGAGGCCCAACGACTGAGGAGGCGACACATCAGTTGCCCACGGGATCAAGAGCACGGCCCCTCGTGGGGCAAACACCAGCACGCACTGCGTTCACCAGCTTTATTGAAGTGGAGGCAACTTCGGGCAGGTCCCCACCCAACTGGGCAGCGGCCCAGAGCATCAGTGCGTTCATACAGTTATACCTTCCAGGCTACAGTCATTAGCATTAAACCATGCCCAGTTCCCTCCCCCGACCTCCTCCCGTTACGCCCATGGCTCCGCCCTGCCTTCATTTCCATGGAGCTGGCCATGCGTTAGCCCATTACCATGGCAACGTTCACTCTGCGCCTGTGTGAAGTCGTCACCCCTACTACCCTCGGTCACCTGCGGTTACTCATCTTAAAACCCTACTTTTGCATTTTCCCTCTTGCTACACCACTGGTTTCCTCCCGTCTGGTGTGAGTGCCTCTATTCCCCGACTGAACAACCGGTCCAATGATGAGACAAAGGATTCACCATTTGAAGCCCCACATCCCACTTATTAAACACACTTGTCATTTTGCTGGTGTTAGTTAGAATTAGCGTTACGCTTCTGCTGCTTAAGCCTTCTGCCCAGTCACATCTCTAACTTGGGCACAGGAAAGCAATGTATCAGCTGCAAGACCAATGCTTTCAGTGTTCGGGCTCACCATAACTCTGCAGGGAAAAAGGGCGAGAAACAAAAGGAGGGAAAAGGAAGTGAAAAGAGCAGGTAAAGACCAGGTTTACCATCCTAACGCTCACAACGGAGAGGGCAGGGTCTGGCTTGTGTCTTGATGTATAGTTAACATTTAACTATATATATATAGAAGTATTTTCTTTAAAAAAAAAACACGGGCCCTTCACCTGCCCCCTTGCCTGAGGCACAAAGGATGCCAGGCCACGCGCCAGAGGTAGCCACAAGAGAGATGCGGCCCTGTGTGTGCCCTGCCCCTGCGACCTGATGAAGGAATGGGTTGCGGGTGGGGTCTGGCTCGGGTCGTGGGGAAGGTCCCCCTCCTCCCGTCAGAGCAGATCTGCAACCGGAGCTCTGCCTTGTCCTCTCGTGCAGCACCGGATCAGACTGGTGCCGTGGTTGGAGCCGTCCTGGGGATCCTGATCGGAGCAGGAGCCACGGCCGCTGCAGCCATTTACTTCTGGAGGAAGAGAAAAAAAGGTAGAGTGTGAAGTTGGGGTGCAGGGGCACAGAGGGAGGGGATGGACCAGAGAGTGGGGAGGTGACAGTGAAGGAGCAAGGATGCCTGAGCTGGAGAAGCCATTCCCACAGTGGTTCCCTGCCCTGGGCTCAGACTGGACACATCTACCAGACGATCCCAGGCTGACCCGTGTCCTGTGTTGGTTGCTTGGCCCCCAGGCTGGGCGGTCTCCTACAATGTCGCAGAGGTGCAGGGGCCGGAGCGGTGCCTGCTGGGCCAGGAGGTGACCCTGCGCTGCTCCATGGAGGGGACGTTCCCCGAGGACATGGCTGTGACATGGGAGAGGATCCACAGCGAGGACAGGACGGTGCCTGAGAGCGCTGGGGACCAGGAGAGCCCCGAGCACCAGCCACTGTTCCCCGCCCTCCCCCCGGGCTGGAGAGTGACCGAGGAGAGAGCTGGGACCCGCCTCACGTCCTCCCTGACCTTCACCCCCACGCTGCAGGACGACGGGGCGCGGGTCCGGTGCGTCTTCCTCCACGAGGCCAAACGGATCAGAGAGGAGCGAGTGTCCCCGGAGATCCGGGTGTGGGGTGAGTGCCCAGCGCCCCACTTCCGGGTGTGGCCAGGGCCTGCTGCTGTGAGGGAGGGATGTATCCAGGGGTAGGCAGTTACTTCAGGATCTGTGTGGGAGGGAGGGGGGGCTGAGGCTGGAAGGCAGCCCCACATGCTTCACAGTGGGGGACTGCGCCATGCTGTGCCTGACTTGGTGGTGGTGGCGCTGGGAGAGAGGACCATGGAGGGGCTATGGAGAATTTTTGTGTGCCTGCATCCTCCCACGTAGCCCCGTTCCCAGCACCAC